ATAGTTTAATAAGATTAATAGGAAATTATTGAAACCCAAGTTAACAGTTGACAGTATTGACTACTAGGGAGAGGGAAAGAGGGAGAGAGAGAGAGAGAGAGAGAGAGAGAGAATATTTATTGGTAGTAATTATTCATATTATTATTTATTTCAAAATACTGTACATTTATTTATTTAGTAATTAATAATTACCTAATGCATTATGATAACATTCATAAACATAAATTAATATATGTAATTCGCTTATTTAAAAAATTAATAACATAATCAGTAAAATATAAAATGATAAATGTATTTAAATTGCAAACTTATAAATTATTAGGCTACTACATTAGGTTATTTAAGAACATAAAAATTTTAATAATAATTTTGTTTTTAATTTTTATGTTTAATATTCAAATTATTTTGAGTTTATTATAATAATAATTTTAACAATGTAATTATTTATTTTAATCGATTCCACACGTTTTATATTAAATATTGATAACATACTACTTAATAATTTATACATTTGCCAAAATGATGTTTTTACTAATAAAATATATATTTTAAGTACATTTAATTACTTTTTTATTGGTAATATTGAAATAAAATATATAGCACATTAACATTAATGCATTTTAAGTATAAAAAGAATATAAGAATATTCTTTATATATTACATATGTATATTTAGCTAATCACATTAAAACTGACACACATTTATACTGACGAGTAAGACTTTAGATAATTATTGTTATTATCAAGTTTACCCATAAATACTGCATAAGAATAATTAAATAATATAATTATTTGTATCTATTTCTTCATAAAAAAAATATAATAAAAATATCTGTTATTTTTAAAAATAATAAATTTATTTAATAGTCAATGTTATTCAATAACATTGTAATTAAAAGTAGCTAAAAATGTTTATATGCCTATTTGATAATAGAATAAAAATGTTCATTTGCCCATATTGTTTGAAATATAAAGGCTATAAAGTTACATTAACTCATTGTTCTACAAACTTGCTACATTTAATTATTTATTTAAGATGGACACGATCGCATTAAACAGCCCACTACCTACACAAATCATCACCCATTTGGCCAGCAGTCAACTATACATCATAGGCCTGTTGCCCACACACGGTAGCCGTTATAATCGGTCAGCGCATCGGCGCCTCATTGACCACCCGGTGCTCATATACGTGTCGACGTGGATATGGTTTATGAAGTGCATTGTCGGCGCAATCACACCATCATCGGCAGAGTACGACCGGGTGTTGGTAGCGGTGGCCGATCCGTCCTATTTGTTTGGCATCGGTAAGATATTGGATTTGGTGATGGTGGCCTGGGGTGGCTACGCGCTCAGCGTACAAAGTATATTCCTATACAATTATACCGTGGTGGGCATAAGTATGCCCACATTTTTAACCCTGTTCGATATGCTCGCCGGCTACCTGAGTCCAGCAGCGGTGGGTCTCAGCGAACGGGCGCTGGTGTATAAAATTGCCCGCCGATCGCGTATCATGTTTACGGTGACCAGATTTGCGCTCACCTACTTTATGCTGTTTTACCCGTGGTACGTAATGATGGGCTATATTAACCGATGTCATATTGGCGACATATTGACCTGGGGAGTCATAAATAGCCTACACTATACTCTACTGGGCAGACACACCGTGGCGTTTAACTCGTGGTTAATGCTGCACCTGTACCTCATATGTTATACAGTAAGGCTTAAGTTACGTCTAATAAATGATCGTCTTTACCGCGTGGTACTCAGAAGGGGCGTGAATTATAATCCACACGTGTTCGCGCGGTTAGCCATACGCGAGTTGACCGCACTGTACACAGAGGTAGCCAACTATAACCGGCACTATCTGTCCAAATACATTGGCGTCCTATGGATCTCGACGGGCGCAATGGCTGTTACCATGTTCTACGCCATTCTGTTTGAGGATATCGCCAAGCTGGTCAAATTGATCCTGTGCAATTCAGTATTGATCACACTAGGGCCACTGTTTTTTGTTGGCTATCTGTCCGCCGCAGTCAATTCAACCGCAAACAAGAGCTATAAATATTTATTTAGGCTGTTTTGCGATCATCGCTTTTCGCTTAATGTTCAGGGTAGTTTTAGTAATAGACGTGTTAGGTTAGTTAAGAAAAATACAATTGTGCATGCAAATTAAATGCAATGTTTCAGCATTTACTAATGTAAAATAAAATAATGTACAAACAATATAAAGATTTTTCACAAATTATTTAAATCTCTTATCCCCACCCTTTGGGAATATAACATGGAATTACAGTTAAAGTCTACGTCTATACTATAACATGGGGTTTCCCTCATAACATTAACCTATGTAACATAGGCTATGTTTAATTTTAAAGTGGCAATAATGTTAACCATATGGCAGAATAATTTAACAAGGATGATACTTATTTAACAGCGGCTTAACTCAATGTACTGGTTAAATTTATTAAATTAAATGTATTTGAATTACAATTCTGTTTTAAAAATTAATTTAAATAGTTTTAAACGTGTACATTTCTACTGTTTTTCAAACCTGGTGATATTTCTGTGTACAGTATATGTTCTCTACTAAACGTAAAATATTTTGTTAATAATTAATACATAACTGCTGTATATTTAGAGTAAGATAAACTTGCCATACATTTAAACAGAACAAAACAATAAATTTGTAAACTTGTTAATGCATAAATTTAAACTTATATAAGTAAATTCATATTAATTCAACAATTAATAGGGAACAAACATCATTAAAGGAGCATTAAAATTTTTAATGAATTAAACATAGTATCTACATAAATACATAATAATTACATAAAAAATATTATTATTAATAGTCATGGTTCTAAATAAAAATGTAATAAATATTGCTCTTAAATTACCAAATAGTACTAAATTAATATATCGCACAATTTCCAAAACAACAAATACATTATCTCTAAATTATTTTAGAATATAATTATTTACACATTTAATAATACATTATCATTAATTTCAGTTTATTATCTATAGCTAAATAGTGTTGTTTTAATAGTTATTGTTAATATCAATATTACATTTACACATTTAATTACTATATTTAATTAATACATTTAATTTGTTTTTTGTCAAAACTTACAAAAAATTCAAACAACCATAGACTAAATAGCTGTATAAATTTTATCAAATATAACTACAAATACTTACAACATGGACAATTTATTACCTCAAGATTTGGCCATAATGTATGCTGACCAGCACATGTACCGTATCGGTTTATTGCTGACCCGCAGTCCGTACTCTACCCATACTTACAGACACATTATAAATCACCCTCATCTCATCATTATAATACAATGCTTAATGATTAGTAAAACCACAATTAGCACAGTGGTGTCTGATAAATATGCTAAAATAAGGCTTGGTGATGGACCATACCTATATGGTCTATCTAATTATATCAATTACGCCTGCATATATTATGTAATATATAGTCTGATGCTTCAATTATTATTTTTGTATAATTACCACATTGGTGTAAAGCCAACATTTATGTCCCTGTTTCATATGCTGGCCGGGCATATATCACCAAAGTCCATTGGTCTTACCAATCAGTATTTGATACTTCAGTTAGTCAATAAATGTCGTATTTATTTTAAATTGATATTGTTTACTCTAAAACACTTCAACCCTTATTGGCCACTGTATATGATAGCCGCGTATATTACCTCGGTGATGGCGGGCAGGTGTACTGTTATGGATACAATATATTACGGCATTATTAATAGTATAGTCTATGGACTATTTGCTAAATATAGTGTCACGTACGGCATTTGGTTTATGGTACATTTCTATCTGCTAAGCTACTATTTAACTCGAAAATTGCGCTTGGTTAATAAGAGATTGGTTAACATTAGCCAGCGGGCACGAAAATTGGACCTTGGTTATGTTCAACGCACTATGTTATTATTGAACGGCATATACAGGGAGATCGATGAATACAACCGAACATATTTGTCTAAATGTATATTTTTGATTTGGTTTTCATCTGGATCAATAACTGTAATAATATTCTACATGATTTTTTTCCAAGACTTAAACTTTGTTGTTAGAGTTATTATAATTAACGCATCAGTATTTATTTTGACCCCGCTTATTTTTGTCGCTTCAATGTCTGCGGCCCTAAATAATGAGGTCAATAAATCATATAAAATTATGAACAAGCTATATTTTTATGTTTGAATGTACCCAAATGAATTATGGCTTAGAATTATGAAACATTTATTTAAATAGCTTTGTATATTACTTTTTAGCTAAATATATCACCATCAAAGTTTTAGCTATTAAAATTAGTTAATGTTAATTACTTACTTTTGCAAACAATATAATTTGTAAAAAACTTAATTATATTATAACTTATATGTTTAACTACTAAAATAAGTAGTTTATTGTAAACTTAATTATATTAATAAAATGGGGCAAAATATGTTAATAATAGGTAAAACAATCGTAGAACACATTTTATTTTGCATACACTTTACTGTATTTAATTATATTTTCTGTATTCTTGTGATTAATTATTTTCATATTTAAATGCAAATCAAATAAGAGTTTGTACATATAATACACACTAAAATAAATAATACAAATTGATATTCAATTGTTATAAGTTGTAATTTTAATCGTTATCACACCAATGGTGACCAATGATTTGTGCAGTGTTAAAACTTATTACCTCAATGGCCCATTAACCGATAGCCGATTAGTAATTGGCAATTACTGTATACAATTTATTGTAAATAAACATGTAGAAAACTTTTATTTATTTTAATTTATATATAAATTATTTAATTTATGAAACTTTAAATTTAATATATAAAACATATGTTATACCCATATATCAAAGCTTATAATCAAATGACAAACATTACTTAAAATATGCAACATTTATCATTTATAAAATCAAATTTTTACAATTACTTCCAATTATAATTAATATTATTATCATATCATATCATCATCATTAATATTATTAAAATTATTGCCACCACTGATAATGGGGGCAGCGGTGGTGGTTGTGGTAGCGGTAGTTATGGGTGGACAGTATAACCTGTCCATTGGTTCCAGCGCTTTACCGATCATGGACGATTTTTGGCGCAATCTTGCCAATATATTCGGGTCAAAGTCTTTGGCCTCGATGTTTTTCGTGTACAGTCGTTGCAAATCTATCACATATACCTGTCCATTGGTTCCAGCGCTTTACCGATCATGGACGATTTTTGGCGCAATCTTGCCAATATATTCGGGTCAAAGTCTTTGGCCTCGATGTTTTTCGTGTACAGTCGTTGCAAATCTATCACATAATTTAATATATTTTACAAATAAGTTTTAGTTGGTATCTAGTTGGTTTAGCTGGTATTCAAACACACTCTACCCCAACACATACCTATACGCCGTTTGCGGCCGTTAACCACTTTCACATAACATGTGTATTGCAAACGATATGTCCTATGGATTTAGTGTTATTACAATGGGATAATGAATATACCGTAGAATTAACGAAGCGTTAAATACATTTAATTTTGTGCACATACTTATAATCGGTGTCCAGAATCCATGACTGGAAAAATGTGCGATCGTAGAGCACTTCCTGCCGGCTCGGGCTGGACTTCGAACGGCGCATTATCACCCTGTTGGTTATGTTATTTGTGCTAGGATAGGTTAGGGAGAGATGATAAATATAACAATGTAAATACACCTACTGTATATGAAAATCAATTATGCTAAAAATATTCTGTAAAAAATATTATGCTAACTGTTTTTCCTGTATCAATGAGTCCATCGCTTTGTGATACGAGTCCACAGTATAGACACAGTCCTTATCCACGCGACTGTTGGACGTGTAGATGGCATCCCAGCGTCCGCACAACTGCGCCCATACATAGACATTGATAACACACAAAATCAAATTAACCAATCACAGTTAGTTCACTAACTTCATTAAATTCATAATAATCTACATAAATAATATCTACATGGATAAACTGACCTTTTTGAATTCCACGTTTGACACGGCCATGTCGTCCAGATTGGGACAGGTCTCGGGCACAGTTATGGTCACGTTCTTAATCAGGTGATCGATCGTGTTAATCATGCCAGGGGTGTCCTTAGTGGACACCAAACGGGCCAACAACGAGTCCAAAGCGCCGGCCGTATTGGCCGAGTACTTTTTGGACAAAAACTTTTTAAACTTCTCGAAATTATACTGACGGGTACTGTTCTGACGGACGTATACATTGATATTATCTAGAGCAGCGATGCTAACAAATACGTTTTTCCCATAAAAAATGTTTTGAGCCAACCATTATAAACGTTATAATGATTGACTAAATATAATGCCCTTGAATTGAATCCATACTCATATTATTCACCCCTTCCTTTCTATGACTATAACACTATGTATGAACAGTTGCACTCTATATAATCACATTTGCCCGCAGAATTGCCCCGCTCAGCATCTATGATCTAGAGGTTTAATACGTGTGAAATACAAAATGATTAAACAGACATTATAACATTAGATTAGATCATCACATTAGATGTGTCAACAAAAATACACATTTTTAAATGTATGATACATTTTGAGACAACACATAAGCGCATACATTGGGTACAAATAACTTGGCCAATTTATTTAATCGCCAGTATGCTTAGTGAGTCCAAATTAAAATGTACAAGCGTATTTATCTCAACGCAAAAATGTCAACAGTATTACTGATCATGATGTTTTGTTTGTGTTTGTTTACGTACCGATAACTGCCAGCCCGTCGGGACTCTCAGTGCACGAGTGCATTGCCATCATCTCGGTGTCCAAGAATAGCACCGACAACACCGAACGCTTCCCACTCAACACCGCATTCCATTGGTTGCTGTCGGTAAACAACTTGGCCGTTCCCGTACACACCACCACAGAGTTGACGCTACAGTTGATCCACAAAAAACAATTAATCATGGTTATAATAAATTAATTATAAACAGACAACACACCTGCGTCTAAGATCAAAACCACCATCCTTGTTTGGGAACATTTCAACGAGATCTGCTTGGCCATAGTTCACATCGGTTATTTGATAGTCAATCTAAACCATTGTGCACAAAAAATACATATGATCATGATCGAAATGGTACGCTAATAATAGCTTAGATAGAATGTAGGACATTGGCTATGGGTTACACCCACACACACACACCTTCCAGGCACCGGTCAAACGCTGTACGTCCCCTTTAACTAGATCCTTTTGATTGAAATGTACACAATTCTTGGTAAAGTTTGGTTTCTCGCAACCGGTTTTGTTGGGTGCCGACGGTTGCGGCGGTGAGATGTCGTTGATTACAGTGACCGCCGCTCTGGTCGTACTCTCGATGATCACCGGCTTTGGCTCAGAATTCTCTATTAAATTGTTTAAATTATAAATAAAATAAATATAATTTAAGAAACAAATAATAAATTTGTAATAAAAACAATAAAAACACAAAATGTATGCAATATTTGTGTGCATTGAATACAAAGGAAAGCCGACAGGAAATGGATTTGAATCGAGTTTTTGAATGAAAAGTATATTTATTTCTTATAAATGTTTAACTAGTGTTTAGCCCGATGTGAAAATGTCCATAAAGAACGTCAATTACAGCCAAACTAAAGTCACTGTAAGTCGAAAACGGTATTTATTTTACACGCGGTTTGATTGGGAAATATCACTTTCACACAAAAGTCTATAATATGAGAAGGTGTAATAAAAACGTAATTTGTTTTCACTCATATCTCAGTATTCATATGTGCTATGTGGACGCAAACTACACGAATCGATTGTGTGAACAAATATTCATTTATTGGTGAAGAAAACATTGAAATTGGCATAACTTTTTGAGTCCAAAATGAGCTCAAAACTAAAGTTTTTAAGGAATTCTGGAAAACTTGGGCTAAAAAGTGTTTTAGAAAAAGTTGGACAAAAAGTGATAGAGGGATATGTGTTCGTACAGTCGATAAGTATTTGTCCCTGCAATATAGTGTACATAGCCTAATTTTTTGGTAAAAAATTGATTAAAACCAGTGCCCTTCCGTCACAAACAAGAATTATGTATATGGATGATTTAATATGGATATAATATGTCTAAAATATGTAAATCTAGTCATCCGAGTTTATCAATTTGATCCTACCCTACCCTGCACTACCCTAACCAAACTACACCATAATCAAACATAGTATTATTAATACATTTTACAATATATTTCTATGAACTTTATCTCTCTAGCGGCTCTATGTCTTACAGCCTTTAGTTTGCGATCAATGTTTCGCTGTGTCTCACAGGCTCGCGGTCATTGGCTCACGGTGGCCATTGTCACGCGTTCTAGCAGCTTCAGTCTCGTCTCTGGCTCCCTGTCTGTATCTCGGTCTTTGTCCCGCGGTCTCACAGTCGTTCGCTTGCGATCCCGGTCTCGCGGTCTTCGGCTCCCGGTCTCAGAGTATGTCTCGCAGGCTCACAATCTGTCTCAGGGCTTATGGCTTCCGGTCAAACTTACCGACTCCGGCTGGCGGTCAGATTTGCTGAGTTCGGCTTCTGGTCAGACTCCGGCTCGCGGTTTGTCTGGCGGTCAATCAATATCCAGTGGTCTGTATCTCGTTCATTGTCCGCGGCCTCACAGTCTTTTGCTCGCGGTCAGGTTTGTGGTCTAAGGCTTGCGGTCTTTGTCTCGGGTGGTTATGCATATCGGTCTGTCACACGGCCTCTTGCTTCCGGTCTGTCCCGCGCTCGGATTTTGGTTTGCGGTCTTTCCCGCGGACTCCGGCTCGCGGTCTTTCCCGCGGACTCCGGCTTGCGGTCTGTCTTTCGGACTTCGGCTCGCGGTCATTCTCGCGGAGTCCGGTTTGCGGTCTGTCTTTCAGACTCCAGGTCGCGGTCATTCTAGCGGACTTTGGATCGCGGTCTGTCTTTCGGACTCCGGCTCCCTGTCTGTATTTCGGTCGTTGTCCCGCGATCTCACAGTCGTTCGCTTGCGATCAATGGCTTGCGGTCTTTGGCTCGCGGTGATTATGCTTCTCGGTCATGTGGCCGCCATGTCATGCGGCCGCAGATTAACTGTCAGTGTCTCGCGGTCACGGACTGTCTCCTGGTCTGGGAGTATGTCTCGCAGGCTCACAGTCTGTCTCCCGGTAATTATCTCGCTGGTTTTGGCTCGAGGTCTATCGCGGTTCCGGTTTGCTGATAATCTTACGGCTTCTGGCTTCCGGTTTGTCTTGCTGGCACTAGCTCATTATCTGTCGGGCGGGCTTCGGCTCGCTGTCTGTCTCACGGCTTCTGGCATCCGGTCAAACTCACGGATTCCGGCTCGCGGTTTGTCTCGTGGTCTCACGCTCGCGGTCTGTGTGGCGGTCGTTAGCGCGCAGTCCGCAGTTTCCATCTCGCGGTCTCTGTCTCTGACACGCGGTCTGTAAAGCGATCTTTGTCTCGCGGTCTGTCTAGGGGGCTGACTCGCGGTTTGTCTAGCGGTCTTTGTCTCGCGTCTCCACAGTCTCTGACTTGCGGTCGTTGTCGCGCAGTCCGCAGTTTCCATTTCGCGGTCTTTGTCTCGCGGGCTTTTTTGTGGTCCGTAATCTGTGACTCGCGGTCTGGTTCACAGTCTACAGTCTGACTCGCGGTCGTTGTCGAGCTGTCCGGAGTTTCCTTCTCGCGGTCTGTCGCGCGGTCCGTAGTCTCTTTCTTGCAGCTGTTGTCTAGCTGTCATTGTCCCGAGTTCGCAATCTCAATCCCGCGACTTCTGGTACGCACTTTTTCCCACAATCTATTTCGCTGTTTTTGCCGCGCGGTCTGCAATCTTTCTCGCGGTAGACAGTCATTGGTTCGCGCTAGCTTATTGTCTCGCAATCCGCAGTTTATCTCGCAGTTCGCAGTCTGTCGCGCAGCCTTTGGCTCGCCGTCGCTTTCTAAATCGCGATCCGCAGTTTCTATCTTGCGATCTCTGACTCGCTTTTTTGATGGCCAATAATGAAAGCAGTGGTCAGTGCGCCGATGAGGTCTGTGAACTGAGACGGGCGTTGCCAGCTCTGGCCATACAGTGGTTGATGGTCGACGATCCCAAAACAAATTAAAGTCTGTAAAACACTTAATGATAGTTCACCATTATATACAATGGAGATAAATTATTTTTAATGTTGACATTGATTATTATGTATTTTTCTGCTTCATATTATGTGTACAGTTCAAAACAAATTAAAGTCTGTAAAACACTTAATGATAGTTCACCATTATATACAATGGAAATAAAAAAAATTTGGTTTCGTCATAGATTATTGTGCATTTTTCTGCTTGATATTATGTGTACAGTTAAATACATTGTTAAAGTTTATATAAGCTATAATGAATAAAAATGTGTTGTGTTTTTGTTTGGTATGTAATGCTTAGAACCGGTAGATTGTGTTTTGCGGATAAACTCTTGAGTTACCACACACTTATGGTTAGTTTTAAGTAACATTTTAAACAGAATCCGTCAATTGGTTTTTAGTTACTGTTTGTATGTATTGTATGAAAAGTTTGTATTATTCTTTCAATTCATTACTTTTATTGTGTTTTACGGTTTTTAATATGTTTTAAGAGTTTTTATGCTTTTTATATTAGAAAAATAATAGTTAACTACAAATCAATTTACAAAACAAAACTATTCTATTCACTTTAACCCCGCTTATTTTTGTTGCTTTAATGGCTGCGACCTTTAATAATGAGGCCAATAAATTGTATAAAATTATGAACAATTATTTTTATGTTTAAATATTTTCGAATGAATTATGGCTTACGAATTATGATGCATTTATTTAAATAATTTTGTATATCACTATCAAAGGTAGATGTAGAGCTTTAGCTATTAAAATTAATTAGTATTAATTAGTTACTTTCTTTTGCAAACAACATAATTTGTACAAACTTAATTATATTAACAATAACTTATATGTTATAAGTTATTTTATTAGTTACTTTATTTTATTGGTTATTTATAAATAACTAATAAAATACGTAGTGTTATCGTAAACTTACTTATATCAATAAAATAAGGCTAAATATGTTAATAATACGTAAAACGATTGTAGAACACATATAAACATATAAAAATGACATTGTTTAATTGAAATAATAAATATCCTTATCGAATTATATACATTTTATTTTGCATACACTTTATTGTATTCAATTATACTTGTATTTTCTGTATTCTTGTGATTAATAATTTATATTTTCATATATAAAGGCAAATCAAATGAGTTTTGTACATATAATACACACTAAAATAAATAATCCATGGTGATATTCAATAGTAATAAATTGTAATTTTAATCGTAATTACACCAATGGTAATTAATGATTTGTGAAAGTGTTAGAACGTATCACATCAATGGCCCATTAGCCGATAGCCCACTTGTCAATTACTGTATAAAATTTATTGTAAAGTGGTACAGATAAATTAACTTTTATAAAACATTTGTTTTAATTTATAGAACTTTTAATTTAATATACAAAACATATGTTATATCCATATACCAAGGCTTATAATCAAGTGAAAAACATTACTTAAAATATGCAACATTCATCATTTATAAAATCAAATTTTTACAATTACAGTACTGCCATAATTCGTAACTATTAATCACTAATTATTAATAATTATATTGTATTTTTACGACTATATAAGATCATCATCATTATTATTAACATTAATGGGGGCGGCGGTGGTGGTTGTGGTAACGGTAGGTATCGGTGGACAGTATGACCTGTCCATTGGTTCCAGCGCTTTACCGATCATGGACGATTTTTGGCGCAATCTTGCCAATATATTCGGGTCAAAGTCTTTGGCCTCGATGTTTTTCGTGTACAGTCGTTGCAAATCTATCACATA